TGAGCCGCATGGACATACCATTGCTTACAAAAACCTTACTAATTCATTAAAAAGTAAAATTTGTGATCTGTGATTTATTCTATAGATAGAGAAGATGATGATAACTAGATATTTTAATATTCATTGATGCACCTAAAGCGATTTAATTTTATGGCGCTAGTCCATGACCTTTTTGATAACCCCTTGTATAATGGCAATAAAATTAAGCATTTCTTACGTAATATTGTTTGAGGAATATTTATCATACGACAAATCATGGAAATAACTGCATTTTCATTATTGTGTGTCTTTTCTGACCAAAAATCTAATAAAATCTAAAGAGGCAATAGTATAAAGTTATTGCTGTTTTGAGGTCAATACAATGATTCAACCATCTGAGGAATACAATATTCACCAAGCCCGAATATTGTACTTCAAAGATGGATAAATCATTGTACTGACCAAAACTTAACAGCAATTGTAATTGTTTATTATATGATTCACTGATAAAATTATACAGCTCATTTCTTGTTTGCATTTAATTAAATCCTAGCCAAATACAAGAGAGAAGTCGAATTAAAATGTAAATAAACCTTACCAGTCGTATCAATTCAACTGAAATATTTTTTTTATCAATTTTAATTGCCAAAAAAAAAAATATGTCAGTCCTTTTTATAGGATAGATTTTGAAAGGAAGTAGTATTATCAGGGAAAACTGACTGCCAAAATGGAAAAATTGTTGTTCAGTAAAAGTATTGAAGGGGGATCCCTGCTTCCTCGCTTACTACCCTCACCCGAAAATATTTATCCGCTTATGTTTTGTTCACATGAAAAAGTCATCGTCGTTTAAAAAGCTTTCCAAAACCATTTGTATCAATTGGAATTTCCCGATCTATTTTTAGATCAATGTAGAGGAAATAAATCCATGTATTTACCTGGAAGGTCACGTGCAGGTTGATACAACGTAGTATTTTCTAACAAAGTTGGATCTCAGCAAATCAGAGGAATGGAAATTATTCAATCATATAATAAAATATTTTATTGTATCAAGCTTTCTATGGTTTTGATTTGATCGTTCGGAAGTAATTTACAAAAAAATGAAAGAAAACAATGGGACCAGTGATGAGAATTTTCAGAAATTTGGTTGCGTTTTTAGGGCAACAACCAGGTCCGTGTTTGCTATGTTCCTATTTTGTATTGTTTAATAGACTTTGATATGGAAGACTGTTCATTATCTCCATATCCTTCTTCTTTGATACAAAGACTAAAATTTTTATTCCCTTTTGCATCCTTTACATACTTTACAAAATCTCGAGATTTCACTAAGTATAGATATTGGAAAATTTATATCATTTAACATGCGTCTGCTATTCCTGATAATAATTTATCTAGTTAATATGTCGGAACTCCTTCAATAATTTAGTTGATCTTTTAAAGAATAAACATATTTTCCATAAACTGTAAATAAAAAAAATGTGCTTAAAAATCGACAGAAATACAAATTTGTCAAATCGGAATATATTCGGTTTCCCAGAAATTCTAGAGTCGGGGATAAGGTGTCAGGAAAAAGTAAACATCCCCTGTCGAACAAAGTAAACATCCCCCGTGGAACCATAAAGACGACCGAGAGCCCTGAGAATTTAACAAGAAAACAGAACAATCAGTATTCAAATATTGTATAAAAACAAAATTAAAAGCATATTGTTTTTGTGACTTAATTTTTTCCTGACTAATTGTTACAGCATCTTAAAACCAGATTCTGTTAATTTTTGTCAATAATGAATAATTTAATGCTCCTGATCCAAAATACCTAACTTTAAAGACTTCAGAGTGATTAAATTCAGGCTGCCTTTACGGGGAAAAAATATTTTTTTAACTAGGCATTTAAGTTTTTGTCCTACTTAACCCAGACAAGTTAAATGGAAGACATATAAAACCAAAATTAAATAATGGTATTACATGTTACAGATTGCAGAATGGCTCTTTTGAGGGTATGTTTTTTATTTTCTTTTTCCTCTTTTTTGAACAGATTTCATTGGATACAAGTTATTCCTTTATTTCACAAAAAACTGACACGTTAATCTTCAAATTCTACTAAAAAAAAAAACTTCCAAAGAATTTATATTACAATTAAACTTCATTTACTGGATTTTTAATCAAATTTAAAGCAGGTGATTTCAGAATTATGTTTAAAATACATATATATTCTTATCATATAAAAGCGTAAATTAATTGAGGTTTGTTTTTGGTGTCAATTAAGACTAAAATTTGACAATTGATGATAAATACTGAAATAGACAGAACAGGAAGCTAAAAATAGAAAGGCAAAATTCATTGAAAGATACAAACTTTCTGCAATGTTTGTTAAAAATTGAAAAAAATCAAAATCTATCTTAAGGAGATATGACACGAACAAAAAATGAGTGCCTACACTGGTACATACTGTTGTATATAAATTTTTGTTGTTTTTTTTTATTAGTAAATGATACAAATAATTCATTTGTAAACTAAAACGAAGGTGGTAAACTAAAACGAAGGTGTAAACTTTTTATCTTGTTCTAAATCCCACCTTTCTGGAACCAACCTCAATAATCTGTACAACTTTTAGACAGTTTAATTCCCATTATTGAGTGACTTTGATGAGAAATTAAAAAAAAATCTGGTTAAAGTTTTGAAGTTTACTACCATGAACATGATTTAAGTTGTTTTTGTCGAGATTTTTGACAAAATATAGTATCATTTGTCCTTAACCAAAATCACGTAGTAATATGACTGTAGGTTAAATAAAACAATTGCGTAACATAATTCTGAACGAATAATTACTGGAAATTTAAACAAACATTGCATTTTAATGTTCAAAATGAAAAAAAAAATGGAAAAAAAATTAATGTTCAAAATGAAGAAAAAATATAGAAAAAAAAACTCAGTAATTTTGAAAGAGAAAATGTCACAAAACCATACCTTTGACCGTTCAAAAAAAATATTGTCTTCAAGCAAAGTTTTCTCTAAATTTGGTAGATGAAATAATAAATCTCTAACCCTAACCCTGAAAACGAATTTATTATGCTCAAAAGTCTTTTGACGCGATGCAAATCAGAATAGAGTAATTACAGACCTTCAGTGGTGGATCAGCATTAAGTGTATAATGACTGCATTTGAGGTAATAATTTACATATTGAAGTCAAATCCATTTTTGAAATTCATTTTGAAATTCTGAAATGACAAAACAAGAATATCAGAAGTCTCGTTTAAAGTCATCATTTCGTAAGTTCTATGGTCGATACAATGACCTTGTATATTTAAAAAGTTAATCATTGCGTCAAATGCTGCTTGTGAAGTGGTGTGTCATAAAACTACCAATTGTTAGTTCACTTTGATACACTGAATTGACGATGGATTTTTACAGTTATTTCCAAAACATCATGACAAGTTTAAGCAAACGGAAATTTTTACCACCTCAATGCGCTTCATTGTATTATGCTCAAAGGTCTACTGAGGCAATACAAATCTTATATTTACAGACCTGTTTGAAACTTCTGCTCTTATTTTGTATTGTTTCATGGACTTTGAGATAATTTACATATTTGTTAACCCATTTTTGAAATTCATGAAGTGTATGAGTGAAAATAAATTGATTAGACGGCGTTTGTAGCTACGTTAAAGGAAATTGTGCCTTGGGCATTTCTTAACATATTTCTGCCTTTTTTTTATTGAATAATGAAACATGATAATAAAATAAAAATGTTACTGAGGACACAAACTCGTTCAATTTCCATGAATTATCATTTTATGATTAAAAGAGGTTATGAAACGTTTCATCGTATTTTTTTCAAAACAAATTGTTTTTAGTTTATCAAATAACAATTAATCTTATTGTACGTTAAATCTTATGATTTGAAGGGGGGTATACGAATTTTTAATAAAATCTGCACTTACCTTACAATGTTAGAATTTTAATTTTAAAAAATAATATTTTTGCTTAATTTATTCATTCATTTTTTTTGTTTGCATTTTTATCAAGGTTTTAAACTGTTTTGTTGAACAGCTCACCAAAATTCACATATTATAAAGACAAGATAACAACACTGAAAAAAATTGCATGGCCGAATGCTAACTACTGTAAGAGTGATGCATTAATCTTTACTTCTTTAACCTCAACTTGCATATTCTCTTTTGTGGTTTTACAAACTAGTTGTCTATTAACCGTTCACTGTACTTACTTCCTATTACATTATGTAAATGAGTCCAATGTTTCAACCCATCCATCAGTATAAAGTACATTGTTATGATTAAAAGGGGCTTACCATTTTGAAACCAACTGCACATCATTAATTACAACACAGCAATTTAGTTGTTGAACTCCCTTTATAAGCAGCATTCTTCTCAGTTTGTTATATGTTATATTTGTCTCTGGATGCACATTAACAAGCTTGTAATCTACCAAATTTAAATTTTTATGAATTAAAATTCCCTGGTAATAATAGATCCATTGCAAGAAAACAGGCAATTACCATTTTGAAATGGCAACAATTAAAACCGATATATACTGGAACAGAAAGAGGTGAAAAAATCTTTGAAATTGCTGCATTAAAACGTGCATATATATATATAATGTTTAAAAAAGCTTTTATCTGATATTTAAAGGAATGTAAATAAAAGGTTTTTTTCCTTTGCTTATTGAACTATGTATGGCCTTGATGCTGAAAATAGTCTCTGAAATTATGTATATCTTGATAAGAGTTATTAAAATTTACTTGAATGTTAGTTTTATATTTTAAATCAGGTCAAAAGTTACTAATTCTCTTCTTGACTTTTTTATTTATTCATTTTTACATACTCCAAAACATTTTTTTTTTCTTGTTTATGATTCAGCAAACGCTTTCTAATCTATTAACTTTTCAGACTTCTGAATAATTATATTCAGATCTGACGTTGCAGGAGACAAAAGGTAAATTTTAAGTAAGTCATTTAATTTTTTACTACTGAACCTTTTAAGGTTCACTGAAGACGTACATATATATAACCAAAATTAAATAATGTGTTTGCCATTATGTTTTACAAACAGATAACAAAATGGATCTTTTGACGGTACGTTAGATCTTTTTGTTTTTATTTTTAAAGGAGCTATATGATTATAGACATTGCCTTTTTACAGGTATATACTCATTATCAATATTAAATATTATACAGTACCGACCACACACATCCTAATAGAGAGTGAACCCAAGAGCGCACTCCAGGTTTGCTCTAGGGGTCTGCTTTGGGTTCGCTCGCGGTCTTATAGGGCCGAAGGCTCAAGTGAGCTTTTCTGATAAAAAAAAATTGTCTGTTCTGTCGTCGTTGTTGTTGTAGTTGTCGAAAACTTTTTACACTGCCATCTTCTTCTCAAGAACCAACGAGCTCATTTCCACCAAACTTGCCACAAAGTATTACAAGGAGAAGGAGATTCAGGTTTGTTCTAATGAATGACCATACCCTCTTTCAATGGGAGAAAATAATGATATAATGATACATTAAAGTTATCTTTTTAAAATCTTCTTCTCAAGAACCACTAGGCCAGGAAATATGAAAATCATATGTCTTCCAGGATGTTTCTTTAGTTGTTTATTTGGCATTTTAGAACTGATTAAGAAAATTTTGCAAAGGAAGGCAGTGTTCTTATTGAACTGTAATGACCTTTGAAGCACCGATGTTTAGCAGATACGCAAACTGTGGCTAAAAACTAGTCTGGGGTTTACTGGGTTTTGTAGGTGGCAATTCCTCAACAATGCTAAACGATAATTTTGTTCTTAGCATGTCAAGAGCTTAGCTGCGCTCATTGCATGAAAGACGTAATAATGACGCTAACTCGGTGACCAGCTAAAACTTTACAAAAGTATAAGACTGATTTTTATATTTTCTTGGATTTCAGGCTGAATGCCTTAAGTTAATACAGGCTCCAAAAGAATGCCATATCATACCTGGCGGCATATTATAAAAATAATATCCACAAATATAAATCTAATTTACATTGAAACATTTAATAAAGAAATTATAATTGATCCGTGCAAACGTTTTAAGTGTATTTTTTTCTTAGAATGAAAAAGACAAACACATTAAAAACTAAAAAGTTCTCCTAATTTTTTAAAGACAGTTAGTTTGAAAATTAAATGACGGCATTGGTATTTGTATATATTTTTGAACAAAGGGTTGCTACCGGACTTTTATGCATTTTTATTTATATATGGTATAATCAGAGCGACATTTTATTAATCATCTACAAATAAAGAATTTCAGCATCTGTGTCCATAGCAAATTCTGAATGATTACCGAAAGATAGGAGATATTTTCCATGGTGTCTGACTTCAAAAAAAGAAGGCGTATTTTTGATTTTTAAACTGAGCTACTGTTTAAAAACAAAATCTAATTATGAAAAGAGTCATTAAAATGGTACCAATTAAGAATAAGAAAGTAACAATATACCATTCTTAAAAATATATTCGTCATATGACGTTATATATTAGGTGCGGCGACTACCATAAACGCGCATTGTTAAAAATCCGATATTTTGAAAAGTTCATAATTCCTTTGAATTTGTCAGGTCTGAATTGAAATAAATAAAACTTTTATTATGTTTAATTGTGTTGCTTTACGTCGATTTATAGCAATTTTATCAAAGTTGTGACATTACTTTTGGATGAACCCACGTAGAATTCCCTTCTCAGTTTGAACTACAAAAGAAATAATTGATCCGTGCAAACTGCGTATTTCCAACTAACAGTTCTCTGATCCAGTTAGTTCAAATAAATCGATCTTTTATATATTTTCACTGTTGCTACCGGACTTTTATATCTACTTATTTATTCTGGTAGTCGAGAGCCATAATATTTCATCTACAAATATCGGTTTCAGCATCTGTGTCCATAGAAATTCTGGTTAAAAGAAAGTATTTTTTGGAAATTTTTGATAAACTGAGAGTAAAAATCTTTATAGTCATTTTCTTTAATAAGGTAACAATATACCATTCATATACAATGTATTCACTAATTCTATGGTCGACACCATGACCTTGTTCATAACCGCACTGTGAAGTAGTACTATACTGTCATTTAGGATGATGCTCGTTTCCGTTTGTGACGCCAAAGCGTTGCGCTAAAGTGGGATGGCTCGCTGTCTTAAAGTCCGATTACTCGTTTCCTATGAGAAGCGTTGCGATAAAGTCCGATGGTACGGATGAACAATCGACGTTTATGACGTCACATTATTCCTACGTCAATCCTTGACGCCGCTGTCCTACATTCAAAAGCCATCATTTCTGAATTCTTCCTCGAATACAATCTTATTGAATTTGCTTATTACTTTACATCCAGAGATAATGGGGTTAGTTCTTGCAAACCATTCTATTGATTAGGGTTAGTCCTTGCATTGCAGAACCCGAGAGATTTAGGGTTTAGACTTCGCACAAAGATTGATACAAACATATTTAGCTTAAAGTTGATACACACTGTTCGAGCGCTTATGGTTTTCTTGCACCTATCTGAGAGATAAGGGTTAGTTTTTGCATTTATTTGTTTATTCATATACTGATTTTTTTATAAAAGACCTTGGTATTGCGCGGCATTGAGGTTTTGCGCAGTAGTACTATGACGTCATAAACGTTAATTTGTTTCCGCACCATTGGGCTTTGGCGTGTCAAAACATCGAGGTTGCAGCAGACTATCGGACTTTGGCGTGACCTTCTGACTTTGGAGTCCCATCACACTTTAGAGTCCTACATATGTACATGTATCAACAGTTATTGAGTCAACATTTAGCCAATGCCATGTTACATATTATAGCATGGTCCTCAAATACAATATACATATATCAGGAAGTCGAATGTTTTTTGGCTTTTCATTCAAACAATTTACTGAAAAGTTATTTCACACAAATTTTGTCTTCGGTCTTTGTTGTATGCCCGATCATGACAAGAGCACGGGCAAGTGTGAAAGTTTGACAGGGAATGCTTTTGGTTCTGGTGGATGTCCATATTGAATCTGCTCACAACCTGTTTGGTTTTGTATGAGTGGGCGTTATGCTCAAGGTTGTATTGTGTGATGGGACGTAATGCTCACAGGTTGGATTGTGTGATGGGGCGTTATGCTCACAGTTTGTATTGTGTGATGGGGCGTTCTCCTCACAGGTCGTATTGTATGAGTGGGCGTTCTGCTCACAGGTCGTATTGTATGAGTGGGCGTTCTGCTCACACGTCGTATTGTATGAGTGGGCGTTCTCCTCACAGGTCGTATTGTATGAGTGGGCGTTTTGCTCACAGGTCGTATTGTATGAGTGGGCGTTTTGCTCATAGGTTGTATTGTATGAGTGGGCGTTTTGCTCATAGGTTGTATTGTATGAGTGGACGTTTAAGCTTGATTACTTTTTATTAACATGATATGAAATTAGAAGTGATTTATGAAGCTTTCAAATGACAGGAGAATCTTTAATAGCTTTATACATGAATTTGCATTGAAAAGTGATCGAAGTAAATAAAGAAATCTAAGTACACTTTATGTATAAAAATTGTGGAATATCTTCAAAAGCCTGGATACCTGTGATTTATATTTTTGAAATGTGTTGATAGGTCTAGTTTGAATTGGAAAATGCATGGCATGTTTTTTTACTAGCAATTCCTGAAAATATATTTGAGATTAACTAATTTTCTCTATATAATATGATAAACTTGAAAGATGAAGTTCAAAGAATTATTATGGATAAAAACATGTTACTTTGAATATTCAGAGACATTTTTGTGAGCATTTTTAATTAGTCAATGCTTGATTTTCAGAACCCGAGGATCGGAGTAACTTAAACTAGATAAATTGCAAGAAAATCATTACTTTTCTAGATATTACGGTCACTGGTGATTGCACTCCTTGTTACGAGGGTAAAAGGTGTCAGGTATCAACAAACAGGTAAGAAACTGGTTTACTGACAAATTAACTCAGAATATTAAATAAGCCATAAATATAAGGTTAACATCTTTATTATTAGAACCGTTGTTTTCTTTATATGAATGGACCACTTTACTTTGAAGGTGACCTATCCAATTATACTTCGGCGGCTTGATCAAAAGCGACATTTCGGCATAAAAATGCAAAATTTAAAATTAAACTTCACTGATTTTGTGGCTCTTACTGGATATGGTATATTTTTGAGGTGAATTTACGTCAATGAAAAAAATTAAGACGACATACAGTTATAGATCCTAAAACATACTGACAATAAAAAAACTTGTGAACAGGGCATAAAAACGGACCCTCGAAATTCCAGAGGTATGATAAGGTATCCAAGTGTGTTCTTGATGACGGCGCACACCCGCCATAAGCGCACACCCGCCGTAAGCCTTTGGAATATATAAGGGAGACGGAATCTATAGTCAAATGGTGTATTTCGATATCATCAGAGTACTTGGCTGTACAGTAAGAATATTTTTAAAAAATGATTTTGCAAAGGACAAATGACAACGTAAGAATATTTACGAGTTCCGTTTTAATTGAAAAAGCAGCTGCCAGTGGTGTCAAAAAGGCTAGACTTAAGTATATCATGGGAAATTTCTTTAAAATTGTGATAAGACAAGACTAAATAGATAAACTAGAAAATTTTTCCTCCTTCAAATAATGTTTATTACGCTTTTTTAAAAATGAGAAGTTGTAAAATCCAAGCAGACTATGACGTTATATCCAGTTAAGCATGTCACACCACTTTTGGTGACGTTTTATGTCAGCACAAAGATAAGTCATTTTCCTCAATCATTTTCTCTGCTTTTACACATCCATCACATTTATCCTTGTACCAGTTAGTACTAGACCACACAACAAATTTACATGAGAATGGTCTTCCAGTGTAAATTTTTAATGCATGTTAGATGGAGTGTTTGTAACCTATATTTTCCCATAACTCAATTGACATTGACTTTTAGTAAACAACAAACAATTAAGAGAATAAGTATATATCTAAAAAAAAAATTGATGACTCTTTTAAGCTGAAGCAAACGGTTAATGGCGTTATTTTCGTTTCTTGTGACATTTACCATTTTTTATCCCTCATAGATTTGTGAATTGAAATATTGAAGAACAAATTAATGTGTCCCCTGCATTTGTAAACAGCCGTTTCTATGAAAACTGAGAAAGTATAACTTTAACTAATTTCGTTTTGAAAAATACCAACAACTTCACATATTTTGACATGCTATATTCAATTACTTCTACAAGGAAGACAATTTGTAAATCTCTGAACTTGTGGATCGTGCATTGGATAATTTATGTCTTTGAAACTAAAAAGTTAATTATGTCAAGACTAACCTACTTCAAACATCATCTTTTGTTTTCTTTTTTAAAGTTTGGTCTCTTGATGATTTAAAAGTATTGCAAGCTTCATCGTCTAAATTTTCTCTTTTTTTACAGTCCCCGTGAATGATGTGAATAAAACAAATGGTTGTCTTAAATGTCCTGGATCGCCATTTAAAGATTCAATTGATCTCTGCGAACCTGAAAGACCACCAACTTTTCATGATCTGACGAGTGAGGAAATTAAAGCAATTTTTCATTTCATGCTCTCACAGAAAAGTTTGAATTTGACAATGCAGAGTGAGGCAACTTTGTCTTCAAACTACATTTACACCATGGAATTAATTCTTCCTAAAAAGAAGTCCATCGAAAGTAATCCTCACGGATTGAAACGGAAAGCGTTGGTCACTGTATTTCATGGTGGAAAAGTTAATCCTGTTGTAGCAGAGTATTGCGTGCAGCTAGCTCCACGTCCAGGATTTTGTGGAATACCTAGATATATCCCATTTTCCTTCAGACCTGCCACATATCCAGAAACATTTGCAGCTGTTGAAGTTCTCATAGAGGAGGCAAATAGGCTGGCTGGAGATATTTTGCTTGAGAGTTTTGAGGGTTCTCTTGTGAACTGTGGAAACAGGTGTCTTGGGTTTGAAATAAGTATTCCTTATGCTGCAATAATTTCGGGAATTCGAGATAAAGGTTTTCGAGGTTTCTGGTTTCCTTTTTTTCAACGACGACGCCCAAGTACGTTAAATCCTGTTGATTTTGTTGTTCTTGTCACTATAAATGAGACTGCTACACCACAAACTGCAGATGTGTGGTACAATGGCCAACTGTTTGATTCGCTTCAATCATTTAGAGAAGCTTGGCTAAGAGGAACGGTGAAAAAACTTCATGTGAGTTTCCCCGCAGATCCACATTCACCTGAAGTGTTTCCTCAACATCCACAAAGGCCTCCAACAGAAGTAGAACCAGACGGAAAACGTTACTCAATCAAAGGCCAGTCAGTCCACTACATGAACTGGGACTTTCAGTTTGGAGTATCACCTACTCATGGTCCTCAGTTGTATCAAATCAAATTCAAAAATGAAATGATCGTTTATCAATTAGGTCTGTCAGAGATGACCGTTTTCTATTCATCTTCAGAACCCATTGGCAGATTTGCCAATTTCTTTGACAGTGTCGTTTTGATTGGAAACAACATTCAAACATTGGTTCCAGGCGTTGATTGTCCAAGTCATGCAACTTTTGTCGACACAAGATTTATGTTAGAATTTTCAGATATGCCAGTTATAAAAAATAAGTCTGTATGCGTGTACGAACACAATACGGGTATCCCGCTAAGACGACATTATGTAAGAGATGACTCCCCATCTGGCTATTATGAAGGTGCACCTAAAACTGTACTTGTTCTCAGGATGATATCAACTCTTGCAAACTATGACTATATCTATGACTTTATGTTCTACAACAATGGCGCAATGGAGACTAAAGTAACGACATCAGGGATTGTATTGCAGTCCTACGTCCAAGATGGCTGTAATTACGGCTTCCAGATAAATAAACAAGCAACAGGCATGCTTCATCATCACATGTTTAATTTTAAGGTTGATCTCGATATCGGAGGCACAAAAAACAGTTACTCAACATATGATATACGTGAGGAAAGTGTTCCAAACCAATTTCTAAAGGGAAGGTATTCTGAAAAATGGTTCCAAACTAAAATAGTTAAAGAAGATTATTCCACGGAGAGAGAGGCCGCTTTAAGATATAATTTTAGCCAACCAAAATACCATGTGTTCTACAATGAAAAAAATAAAGATGAATTTGGGAATCCTAAAGCGTATCGGCTCTTATTAAGAGGAATGTCCAAAAGTCTGTTCAGAGCAGGAGTAGGGAACGAGCCAGGAGCTTCGTGGATGAGGTATCAATTGGCAGTCACAAAGAGAAAGGAAACTGAGCAATTTAGTAGCTCTAAATATGCTACCTTTGATGGCGAAGACCGAATTGTTAATTTTGAGAATTTTATAGGAGATGAACCCATTCAGCAAGAGGTACAAATTCGCTGTAATTGATAAACTAGTCAATTTTTCCTTTAACATGCATTACTGACTTCCCCGAAGGATATTTTCTTCAGAGAGAGCAAGGGAAGGAATTTTCTTTCTCGGATCGACTATTATAATGTAATTTCTAATTTTTATTGATTGATTGTATAACGTCTCTCTCAAGAATTTTTAAACTCAAATGAAGACGCCACCACTCGCCTATGTAGAGCTGCAAACTTTGTTGTATACTCGGCACTCAGGGCCATTGAGCAGAGAGGGATTTTTTTCGTGTCAGCACCCACTGTGACACGGGAACTCTGCTTATACGGTCTCATCCGAAGAACAATTCTCCACATCACACAGTGGTATTCGAATCCGCGACGTAATGATTAAATCCATACATTGCGACCCTCATTTTTTAACTATTGAAGATCAAGAAGTCATTTATCATGGAAGCACTGTGAATCGTGCCCTTAACCTTCACATGAACAAAGTAATCCGAAGTCAAAACCGATTTTATTTAGTTCCAAACACTTTATATGAAGTATGTCCATAAAATTCACCTTGTCACGGTACACGCTTTTATTTCTAGCTTATTATGCTAACTTCTTTCCCACCATCTTTGTTTTTTTTCTCTCGATATTTGTTTGTTCTTAAAGCTTTTTATTTTACTCTCATTTATTTTCATAGAAGACTGAGGAGTGGTGTTAAAAGACACGTTGATATAAAGCTACATAAATACGGGAAGTTGATGTTTGAAATGTCATCAGTACTGTCATATTGCTGATTCTCTAGATGTTCTTTACGTCCGATCCATTAACGTCTATTTTCAGTAAAACATCCAAACATGAAGCAGATGTAACAGATTTCGTAGTGTCTTTTTTTTCGAGTTCATTTGTATAAAACTATACAACAACATATTACTGAATATGGCTATTGTTTATGAAAACCTCGTCGATATATCTTAATTTCGAATTAAAGGATATGTTGTCGACATATCTGAATGTCGAATAGAATCGTGTTTGCTGTTAAATGTTCCTAGAATCTCCAACTCATATAAAGAGGCAGCCTGTTCTCGGTAAAGCGCTGCAATTTAAGACTTTTTACGGGCTTTGAGCAAAGAGGGATCATTTTCTTTCAAGCAAATTACAGCGACACGGGATCTTGGTTTTCAGGGTATTATTAAAAAGACAGGTCCTCACGCCACACGATGGATTCGAACCCGTGACTTAAGGATCAACTCCATACTCAGGATTTTTAGAGCAAACGCTCTAACCACTGATCCTTGCGGGTGGCTTTAACAAAATAGCCTTTTCAATGATCATAAACAAGAAATATTATATTTATGTAAACTCCGTTTGCGAACTTTATTGTTCTGAAAGCAAAGTGTACTTTTTTTTATTTTAGGACCTTGTTGCTTGGGTCACCTTAGGCATCCACCACATACCCAATACGTCAGAACTTCCCATTATGCAAACTGTCGGAGGTGACGTCAGCTTCTTCCTTCTGCCTTTCAATTATTTCCCCAAAGACCCAAGTTTGGGAATTCGTGACAGCGTTGGAATGTGTTACAATGGTCCAAAAGGTCCTCTGAAGGTTCTCTCAAACATGGAGGGAGTTGATTGTGTACCAAGGCCTTCTTACACAGTGGGGGACCTAGCAGCAAATCCTGAAGACTTCTTACCTCGACCTTAATTTGAGAAGCGACCACACAAAAATGAGACGAAAAATAAGACAAACCAAATTTTTCTTTCTAAAACCAGGAATCATGAGAATTATTGAAAAACGAAGTAGGATAACAGCCGCATATTTGCCCTAAGTATGACGTAAAAATTAACAACACGATTAAAATCGTGATAGTTTGCAGCAAAAACACAGTATATTATGTAAAATTTGTATGTACATCACATTTTTTAATAAATATAGCATAATCGTTTGTGATCTATGTCTAGTATGTTTTGCTTTGTATTACATGTGTATTTGTTGTTTACTTAAACGTATGACTTGTTTGGTTATTTGTCATATTATGTTTTGCTTTGTCTTATTTGAATGTACATATACATATGTCTTGTTTGATTATTCTGTAATTTATTTATTTTTCTGAGATTTGTATGTACAAGTGCATCGGATTCAAGTGATTGTAATAGATAAATGTGGTAGATGGTCAAGCTTGTGTTTTATGTGTTCTGAGACCTTCTGTAATTTTGAAATTGAGAAAAAATGAGGAAACTGTGGAAATTGACACAATTGCTTATCTTCGTTGACCCCTGTGTATCTCATATAATCCAATCTAATTTAAAGACAGGTATGATAATGGGTTTTTATAGATACACCGTTGCATCATTCGAAAATAGTACTTTAACCAGGGGAAAATAAGGGTTTTACAATGTATCCATCTAGCCTATAGTGTAATTTAATTACCGGTTCAACCAATCCAGTGAAGCAGGTTTTGAAGAATTTTTTCTTTATTAGCGAAACATGAGATTCCAAAAACATTTTTCTTCTAATATTCTAATTATCATTTAAGAACACTCGTTTTAATCTCACAGTACTTTCGGTCCTTTTTGGAAACGACCATAACACGCATGAACCGGCAAAAATGTATCTTTTCTGTTTTAGATCTGTCGAATTAAACCTAATTTGAAAACTTTTAGGTTATCGAAGCGGGGGGCATACTTCCACGGCGTTTTGAACAGTTGAGTAAAATAATACTTTTATCAACAATATATTGAAACTATAAGATTTCCAAAATACATATCTCTTTAAGTTGTTGTTATATTTAGAAAATGTTTTAATTAATTGTTAGATAACAGTTGACATTTGCTTTAAAGGAAATATACACTGAATGGTTTGAGAGGTCCAAAGGAACATTATCCAATATTTGAATTATTATGTAAAAATGGATTATGTTGTAACGTCAATAGTCAATGAAAAAATAGAAGTGCAAATAAAATATCACCATCTGTATGTAGAAATACCTTCAATTCTCGCTAATCTTAAGATACATTTGATGTTAAAATGTTAGGTCGATCTTTTCCATTTAATTTGAACTCAGAAAACAGAGTTAGCCAGTTGTTTCTTTTTGCATTATAATGTGATAATTATCGCAATAAATAAAATTATATTATAATCATATTATATGTATAAAGGTTTCAAGTACATGTAATGCATGTATCTATCATCATGCAAGAAGGATATGGATATAACAAACAGCATTCCTGCTGACTGGTACCACCCGCCGTGTGCCCCTTGTAATGGTCGAGAAATAATGGTAAAATTCATTCAGTGTATAAATAATGGACAAACAATCAGTATGAAAAATGTCAGTAAGCATTTGTCTCAGTGATACATTGTATTTCCTGACAACGTCATTGTATCTATCATAGAACTTACGAGATGATGATTTCAAACGAGACTGCTCATATTCTCGTTTTATCAACTTGCTTGTCATTTATTTACCTCGTTTTAGAAATTATTCTCATACGAGGGGCATTTCAAAAGTCCTGAGAACTGTTTGATAAAAAATTAACCGTTTTACGGAAATTGAGTTTGGTATCATTGGAAAGAGCAGAAAAATACACCCATATTGTGACGTCATTATTATAATTGTTATGACGTAATATCACCAATAATGATGTCAAACTTCCGCATACATACAATACTGACCATAAAAATGACGTAACAAAAGACACAATCTCATCAATGTAAAATTTTAAAAACAACTTTTGGTCATTACTCGGGTGCAAGCTATCGGACGTAAATGACAGTTGGTAGAATCTTTACATAGACTACAATCTATCTTATGGTGGTCTATTTCAGAGATCTTCTTGTTCTGCAATGGTTTAAGCGATTGTCAAACATCGCAAGTTTTTATCGAATCTTGCTCAAAATATTGCGTTAAACAGACCCAACTGTGAGAATAAGGCAAAGTTGGCAATCAAAGAAAAATAGACGATCGTGTTACTCAATTTCATGGCATCAATTCGTCAGGTGTTTTAACCATATTTGTGGGATCGATGAAGGCTCAAGAGAAGTTAAGATTAGTGTGGCCCATATTTTCTCGTAAAATCCAAAATGGCGCGGGCGCAATTGTAACCCCACCGTACCTCCACATATTCGCAAAAATTAATTCATGGAAATTAAATAAGATTATACATGTTTGTGTAACTTATAAACCTTTTTTGGAGTTAAAAGTCAAAATCAGTACTGAGTTTTGGGGGCGCCGAATTGAATTAATGAGAAAAAATACGTACAAAAACAAGTCAGGGGCAAGGCATTTGTACATTTTATTTGTAAACGGTAAGAGTACTGTTACTCAAAATATATTTGTTGAAAATTGCATTAATATACTTTAGTTTTATACAGAAATTTCTTTTATTTCAGACAATGGAGAACTATATAAAAGACCGAAAATACAGTCGTATCATGTAACTTAAAATCTTGGATGAATGTCGATGATAGCATTACCGGACATATATAAACCGTAAACGAACAAAACAATGAAATATAGTATTGTTGATAAACAGTACCATAGTCCTACTCAATTTCTTTGCAAATGAAAATTTACTTTGAAATATATTTTCAAATAAGCCTTTGGTAGCACTTTTAAAATTGTGCCATGTGGATATAAACGCGAGTTTTCAGTATGCTAAACATTCTATATTCTGACGTCATTTTCGGAGATATTACGTCATCAAAATTATAAAATGACATCACAATATGTGTGTATTTTTCTGCTCTTTCCAATGATACCAAACTCAATAATTTCCGTGAAATGGTTAATTTTTTATTAAACAGTTCTCAGGACTTTTGAAATGCCCCTCGTATGTAGAGCATGCTCTGCGTATCCAATCAACTGAGAAACATGTATATACACTCCGTATGCAGGTTATGAAGGTATATTGCTGCATATTTAAGGGAAGTTGGCGATGGAAAAGTTAATGTAAATTGAAAAAAAAAAACTATTGTGTAACATTCTGCATTAAAGATATGTCATGCTTTGGGAATTAAAAAGTCATTTTTATTAATCTAGTGCTGATTGCTTAAACGTTTCTTGTATTTAAAAATAATGAAAAGAAATGGGGCTATGTAAGTTGTTTTTTTTTTTCAAATATGGTAAAAAAAAAATGCTATTTTAGAGAAAAAGATTGTGCATATTTTTGTTTGTTTTAGATAATTGATGTCCTTTAATTATGCAACACGCTAGGCAGTCATTCCTTATATTTTTTTGTGATATATTAGTTGTAAATATGATGAAAAATGTACACATACGGTTTTTTTTGGATTTATAAATTTCTGAAAAGAAAACTGAAACTGCTAAGTGTTAGTTTACAATACATGAAATATTATTATCTTTGGTGATTACTAGTCTACAAAAAACGTAATTGTATGGCTAATCAATGCATTGTGGTGTCACGAAATTTGTAAGTTTTCTCAAACCTACAAACCTACAAAAACAGCAAAGCTATGTTTCGACATTTCATATAGAACGCAACTTCTGATCTAAGATATGCAACTCGTGCATGAATGATAAAGCCGTATCTCACGACTACAAAACACATGTTTTAGATCAGAACTTGCGCTTATATTATTTTTCTTCATTAAAGTACTCAAATATACTTGACAGTGTTTTTCTTAAAATCCAATGACAATGCTATTTTATAAAGTGAGTTCACCAAGGCCTGGACGTATAGGAGAACAATGAAATAGGAAATTAAATCGCTACGTCTCTGCTTATTTAATGTTTAAATTGGAACATCAGTTATTAAGCAATCCATTGGAATATTTACAGAGCTATTTTATGCATAAAGTGAACCTGACTCTCATGAAAACATTGTCTAATAATTTAATTTTGCTAGTATTCTTGCCTCTCATTGGTTGATTTCCAAAAAGGAACGCATAACATTTTGTATAATCTGGTTTGGTATGGGGACACACCCCCTTGACAACCAGCTGAATCATCTGTATCCATCAATCCCCTCATTTCCAGTCCTTGGGATTCATGGAAAATTCCAGATTTAATGAATGTACCTTTAACTTCAAACAGTAACTCGATCTTACCTCGTGTAAACAAGCGTCATTTCTGCTAGATCTATGTATCAGTTTTTACCTCCCCTCGCTTCCCATCACTTCCGTTACTACGGTTGTATTATTGCGCGGTAAATTTGAACTCATAAAAACAACACAATTTTACATCCCCAGTTGAATAATTATTTCAAAATTAAATTATAAGGAATGACTCTAATTCATGGCTTCGCGGATTATAAAGCGTAAACCGACCCAAACCATATTATACTCGATAATTTGGCCAAGAATTAGAGTCATTCCTTAAATAGATTTAAGTTACCCGATGCTTCCCTTGTTAATCTAGATAGTCCCCACCCACTGACGTGAAACAAAATAAGCAGGTGCGCGACATTTATATTAGAACCTTGACCTTTCACTAGGCAAAATTTACATTCAGGTGTAATTATCAAGAAATTAACTTATCTTACAATTATAGAGTTATAGAAAAAAAAAAGAAACGTTGATATTTTTTATTACATATTTGTATTAGTATTTTGCTGTATCAATATTTTTATGAACAACAGTAGATCCCACGTCTGATGTTTTTTTTAAACGCAATTCAAGCCTTTTAGAATGCCTTTAAGATGTAACAAACTAAATTTAATCCCGTAGGATACCCCTAGTGTGTGAGTGTAAATATTGTTATTTATCCTGTGGGGAGCCCCTCGATGTGCAATTTTATCTACCTGAGAGCTCGTGTTTGGGTAGTACCCGGGAAGTCACAGCCGAGATAAGACCTGTTTGGCTTGTTGTTATGATGAAGTAGCCGGGGCGGGTACTCAAACTGCATCAGGTATTTGAAATTTGTAAAATATGTTTTCTTGTTTGAGTCTACACCTTTAGTATGGTTGTTTTTTTTTTTTATATTTTTCCTCAGGGTCCTATTTCCTCGGGCTTTCGTCCCGTTTCGTAATTAACAGGTCTTGGGCGGGGTACTACAACTTATTACACTGACAATAACCTGTCCAGGGTGAGAGGGAGAGGCTTGCATTGCTTGTGCAGTTACTACTGCATATGTAAGAGAGAGTACGACAGAGTACGGCGGCCCTGACGGACACCTCGGGACCAGCAAATTTCTAGTTATGTGGTGATATTGAATTAAGAATT